TCCTCCTCCCTCGTCGTCGTCGTAGTCGTCCGTCGTCGGCGTCTCGTCGTCCCTCCTATTTCGTCGCCGTCGTCGTCGTCGTCGTTGTCGTCGTCGTCTCGTCGTCGTCTTCCCTCCTCCCTCGTCATTGTCGTCGTCGGCGTCGCCGTCGTTCCTCCTTCTTCGTCGTTCGCGTCGTCGCTGTCATCCCTCCTCCCTCGTTGTCGTCGTTGTCGTCGTTGTCGTCGTTGTCGCCGTCGTCGTCTTCCCTCCTCCCTCGTCGTCGTCTTCGTTGGCGACGTCGTCGTCGTTGTCGTCGTCGCCGCCGCCGTCGTCGTCGTCGTCGTCGTCGTCGTCGTCGTCGTCGGCTGTCTTGCTTCTCCGGCCTTTTTGGGGCGCTCTTGAGACGCCCCCGAGGGCTCCGAGACGACCCCGCAGCGATATCTGTGCTCGGTCCCGCATGGGTTTTGCAAACCAAGTTGCGGGTGGGTGGGTGGGATGATTGCGCGAGCAGTGGAGTTGACAATTTCAAGTTCGGCAAGTGATTGAGAAACCTATAGGTTTTTTAATATTTCCAAAAAGTGCTATTAAACGGGCTTCGCGCGCGCGCATGTCGAAATCTGTCGAACGCCCTTGCGCGTGTGCCGTCGCGAGAATCCTTTGCAAAAGAAGAAACGAAGTGCAGACGCGCGCGTCGTCGCGCGCGTATGCCGAAAACCTTCAAAACCCGTGGGCTTCGGAAGGATTTCAAAATCGTGTGTCCCAAAAACCTACAAAAACACCAGGTTTCGCAACACGGGTTTTCAACAAAAGCGTGCGCGCGCGCTCTTGCGTCGTCGTCGTCGTCGCCGTCCTCCCTCCTCCCGCGTCGTCGTCGTCGTCGCCTACGTCGTCCTGTGTCATTCCTCGTGTTCGTCGTCGTCGTCGTCCTCTTTGGCGTCGTGGTCGTTTCCGTCGTCGTTGTCGCCGTGGTCGTCCTTGCTCCTCTCGTCGTCGTCGTCGTTGTCGTCGTCGTCTTCCCTCCTCCCTCATCGTTGTCGTCGTCGGCGTCGCCGTCCTTCCTCCTTCTTCGTCGTTCGCGTCGTCGCCGTCCTCCCTCCTCCCTCGTTGTCGTCGTTGTCGTTGTTGTCGTCGTTGTCGCCGTCGTCGTCCTTCCTCCTCCCTCGTCGTCGTCTTCGTTGGCGTCGTCGTCTTCGTCGTCGTCGGCGTCGGCGTCGTTGTCGTGTCGAAGTCGTCGGAGACGTCGTCGGTGTCGTCCTAGTCGTTGTCGTCGGTGTCGTCGTAGTCGGTCTGCACAGGTTTTGCAAACCAAGTTGCGGGTGGGTGGGTGGGATAATTGCGCGAGCAGTGGAGATGATGACTTCAAGTTCAGCAGAGAGGATTGCACCACGTAGACTGCTCCACATCTGCTGGTCAACAATAGTGTCTACAGAAGCGCTGTCTTGGGCCCGCGCTGGCCAACAATGTGTATTATGTATGTATGGGTATACACTTGCATACACGAGCACGTCTGTCGGTCTCCTGTTGCCCAGAAGGTGTTTGCACCTGGGAGTTCTTGCTTGTTCGTCGCAAAACACTGGGCCTGTCAGGCGGTCCGGCGGCTCGGTGGCCGCCGCCGCCGCCGCCCGCCGCGTGCACCTGCCCGGCGGTTGGGCGGCTCGGTGGCCACCGCTGCCGCCCCGTCGCCGCCTCGTCGCCGTCTTTGTCGCCGCCCTAGCCTGCACCGCGTAACCTGCACACGACAGGTTGCACCACCGCACATATCGCGCCAGGTGGATTGCACTGCGTACGGTGGAACGCATCCGCTGCACCGCGTCGATCACACACCATACGTTGCACCGTCTTCGATTGCACCACATGCGTTGCGCATCGTAGTTTGCACCACATGGAGTGCACACCATAGATGGCCCCACCGAGATTCATGTTTTGCACCACGATCAAATCTTGACGCTTCGCGTAACCCCTACCAGCCCATCCAGAGACGATGCCTAGAGGAGTTGCCTCGATCAGGGAGGTGGGCAGCAAAAGGAGGAGGGGTCCCTCTTGGAGTGCTCTTGGGACATTCTTGGGCGCTTTGGAGGGCGTCTGGGGGCCCTCTTGGGGCCTTTTACGGGCCGCTTATGGTCTTTGGGGGGGCCTCCCAGGAGCCTTTTCGAGCTGTCTTGGGGGTTTCAGAAGCCATGTCGGGGCCATCTTGGAAAAAAGATAGATCAAATAATGGCCCCCCCCACCAGAAGCTCCAAAATCGCCTCTTGGGCCCCTCTTGGGGCGCTCGTGGGGCGCTTGGCGCTCTGGTGGCCGTCTTGGAGCTGTCTTATGCCTCTCTTGGGGTCCTTTGGGGCTCTCTTGGAGAAATCCTGAGGCTTCGGAAGGCCAGCGAAGGCAGAAAGGAGAGACGGCAACGTTGATTGATAGTCATCAGGTGTTTATCGGATTTTGGCATCTTGGCGGCCACCTGGGGGGGGGGTCCCATGGCCACCTGGAGCCGTCTTGGAGCGGTCTTGGGGCCTCTTGGAGCATGTTGGGAGCCATATTGAGCCATCTTAGGTTGTGTTGAGCCATTTTGGAGATCATCTTGGGCTCTTTTAGGCCCTCCTAGAGCTATCTTGGGCCATCTTGGACGCACCAGCGCCTCGCGAACCCCCCCTCCAGGCCCAGGGGAGGGGATAGGGGGAGGGGTCTAGACACCCCCTATATACCGAGCCTCAGCATGTTCAGCGGCCGTGTTTGGATGGACAGCTACTGGGATCCGGAAGCGAGCCCATGTGCGCGACGGTTGGGCGAGGTGCGCCACGCGTGCCAGGCGCGCCACGCGCGCCAGGCACACCTGGGGCCCGAGCGTGCCAGGCACGCCTGGCGCGCCAGATGCGCCACGTGTCTCCGCGTGCGCCAGGTGTGCCGCATACTTCAGCCGCGCCATGTGCTCCACGATCGGGGCACCTGCAGAGTGTGTCAGGTGCGCCTACGCCTGTGACAGCACACAGTTTGAAACATGTCGGCCCCCACCGTTCTTGTCGAAAGCCCAATGCCCGTCAATGCGTCTGGTGGGCCTGCACAAAGGAAGCCATACGTCACCACCCCCACCGTCGCTGTGAAAAATCACTTGACAGTGACTGTGCGTGGCCGCGCATGACCCATATTCAGCCGCGAGCCGCGCATGATCCAGATTTTGTATCGCTTTTTTGTTAGGGATGGCAGCCGTGCGCGCAGCAGGCAATATGCTGACACCCCCGCCGCACACGGCAAACAAAACACACACCACAAACTGCTCGCGGGCCTTACGAAGATTACTCCGGGCTATGCCCCAAAATGTACTGTGTATTGTTGTTGACAGGTATGGTGGAGGGAGGGCGCATCGGGTTGGTTGCGCATGCTCAGAATTTGGAGGCAGATGTGATTCGTATTGTCTTATGATTAGGATGGATGGGGGGGTTTAATCATGGTGTCATCATTGTTCCTTGTTGGCTGCCGGTCGCCTGGGGTGTGTGTATACGAGTAGAGAACAGTGATCGCCCCCCCCGAAAGGGGAAGAGGGAGAGGTTGGAAGAGAAATTGCTCTCGACCACCTACGCCCAGAGGGCTGGTGGGATTGTCCTTTCTAAAAAGCCGTAGGGTCCCCCCCTGGGGTAAGCGGCTCCCACTTTCGCATTGCAATTTACAAATGTTTCTGCCCCATCGTCCATCGGAAATGCGAACTCGTACCATCCCAGGCAGGCCGGTATCGGCATCTCCCTCATCCTTTTTGCACACAGCACTATGCACGCGCTCGTGTTAACCAAACATCAACAGTTCCCACCCATCTCTTGCAATAGGCGGGGGGGCAACGTGCACATGCGCGCGTCGTCGCGCGTGCATGCCGAAATCTTTCAACAACTCTAGGTTGCGTAAGGATTCCAGAATCGAGTATCCCGAAACATACAAAACAAACGTGGTCAAGCAACCAAACTTTCAAAACTGAAAAAATATTGCGCTCGGGCTCGCGAATTCTTAACATAGCCATACATGTTGTTAAACAGCTGCGTACCTTGCTATTCAACGGGCTTCTCGCGCGCGCATGTTGGCATCTCTCGAACTCCCTTGAAGCCCTTACGCGCGTGTTGTCGGAATCGTTCTTTGTAATTAGCGGGACGTCGTGCACACGCGCGCGCGCGTCGTCGCGCGCGCATGTATCCCTCAAGCTCCTCACGTTTCGTAGGGATGTCAAAATCGAGTGCCCCGGAGACAAGAAACACACATGGCTTTGTTGCATCAGTTTTCAAAACAATGCCTGCTCTCGCGCTGTTGCGAATACTTACGCAAGCCACGTGTACTGTAACAGCTTCATCAAATTTGGCCAAGCGAGATCTTCGCGCCGCACGTGGAAGTCATTCGAACGCCCTTCCGTGCGGGTTGGGAGGGGGGAAGGCACGATCCGTGTCAAATAATACAATGCGGGGCCACTTTCGCGCGTCGGCCGCGCGCGCATGTCGAACTCTTTCCAACTGTCATCACCGACGCGAAGACGCGGTCACCGTCGTCGGCGTGATCAGCATCGGCGCCGTCACTGGCATTGCCGTCGTAGGAGTCACCATGTTCACCAGCATCGCTACAACGTCTACCGGTGTCGACGTTTCTTTCCATGACACCGCGCCCGCGCAAATCGCCGACTCGAATTGAAACGCCCGCTGGGAAGGTCCCAGCGGTCAGCGCCACTGCGGCCGCGTCGGTCGCGCCAAATTGGTTGGCCGCTACGCGCGCGAGCATGCGTGGGTTAGCGCGGCCGCAGTGATATACCAGCCAAGTCCAAACACTCATCGCAATCGCCGCCGCGTGGGTTTTTCCAGACAAGTTGCGGGTGGGTGGGTGGGATGATTGTGCGAGCAGTGGGTTGACCCATTGCGAACAAAATTTCACGCACCGCACAGCGCGCACCAGATAAAGTGCACCACATACACTGCTCAACGTGGAAGGAAACGCAACGCGAAACTTTGCACAATACGTATACCGATCGCATTAACCATGCAGTTAGCGAGTGGCGGGAGGTCGAGGTCATGGAGGTTGTCGACTTGCAGGAAGACCAGCGCGTACGAGCCAGGACTTTTGCCTGGGGCTGGGCCAATTCAGGTGGTTGTTCAGAGGTGCGTGTTTGGGCAATTTGTTTTTCCCGCCGACCGCGCTGTGTTTTTCACATCCTTGTCCGTCGAACATGCATTCATGCTGGGCTGCGCTTCCCCTTGAGAGGCAGACCAGAGACGGGCGATAATACAGATTTCGGATCGTGTTCGTGCCGCCGTGGCGTAGAGACTTGTTGTTCCTGGAGCTGTGCTCCTTCCTCCTATGCCAGCGTTGGCGCGTATGGTGGCGGTGGTAGTACAGGAGGTTCGGGAGGTTTGTGTTTTTCCCCCCTGTGGTGCTTCTTTGGATCGTAGCAGCAGCTCGCACCCTGGGAATCTAAGGGCTGTTTTTTTGGGGGGAGGTGTCTTGAACCGTGGACGGATTCGCTTGTACGTGTGGCACTTGAGGGATATAGTCTTGACGCATACCTATTCTCTGGAAGGACGTTCAGAATAGTCGGTGCTGAAACGGCTTATTTTTCCCCCAGCCAGTGCTTGAGACGCGGGAGCAATTGGCGCAAGTACCAGGCCGGTGTTAAGGTCTGGCGACCATGCCATATCGATATCAGTGGGAGGCCAGGTGCGCCTCTTTCGGTGGGCGGTCGGGTTGTTAATTCCATGCGTAGTGGAAGGTTCCCGGTTTCTTGCGTTGTTGATAGCTGCCGGGTATTTGCGTCGTTTCAACCGCGGTCAAGCGGAGCAGAGGAGGGTGAATAGACATTGTCCGTGATACATCTCTCTCTCTATATATATATATATATTAGGGAGCAGGGCGAGTTCAGAGGGCAGGCGACGTACGCCGAGTAGGAACAGAGAGAGTGAGAGAGGCTAGACCGATAGAGAGGGATGACACTGATGCCGATAGTTATGACGGTTGGGATGGGGGCAGTGCGATGTCGACGAGGACCATGGTGATGGTGATGAAAATAATAGAGATGATCATGGTTGCTTCGATGACGCTGGGCTGGCGACGATGGTGTTGGTGGTCATTCTGGGGAAGTGCCCGCGAGCAGAACCTCTAGCGGGGGCGACGACATCGAGGATAATGGCGATGACGGCTGTCGCGATGACCCCGACGATTATTGTCGTGATGATGACGCTTGGCGATGATGAGGCTGGCGATGCTGAGAACTGGTGTGTTGATGATGCTGAGGCAGTGCGCGCCTGCAGAATGTCAAACATCCTGACATGTATTGATGGGAAGCCAGTTGGCTTCCGTGCATGGTTCAAACACGTGTTGGGACGAATTGTCACGCATTCTCAACGTGCGCGCTTCCAATGGTTTTCACTACCTTTCACTGATTTTCGCAAATTTGTTGGGAACGAGGGTTTCCAGTGGGTTCGGACGAATTGTTAACGTGCACGCGCGGGGACGCGCGCGTGTGGCCCGCAACGTATTATTTGACAAAGGTGGTGGGCGCTTGATGCGGGTTGAGTGTGTTGGGAATGCGCGCGCGGGTGGTCCGCATGGTATCAGTCGACACGTTGGCTAATGTTTCCCTCGCGATTCCACTGGGTGCGCACGGCAAGATGCTAATCTCCTTGTCGGAAGACCATTGACAGTGAGCAGTTGTTGAATCGCCATATGCTGAAAGTAATGGCAACTAATTCTTCGATGCTCATTCTGACGTGCACGCGGCAGCGAGCTCCTGTGTCGAGTGTCCCGTAATGGATCTGTCGCAAGGGGTTCCCAAGCACAAGTCAATATCATATCAAACTATGCGCAATGCTATCCATTTTGTTGCAGAGCACGGTGGAGGTTGCCAACACCGGTTTTGTTGGAATGGACCTCTTTCCTAGTTGGGATAAGTTGGCGTCCGCTACAATGTTGACAACACAAATCAATACGCGGAAGGGGGCGGCTAACCCCGTCCCAGGTGCAGGGGGATCGTGTGATTTGCCATAGGAGGACAAAGGGATACCACATCTCATATATAAATTGTACATGTGTGTATCTGTACATATATATATATATACAGAGAGATTGCGTAAATGAACAAACAAGGCAGACTGTAGACACCCGGCATCAGGAGCTAGAGAGGAGAAGAGAGCAAGACGAGTTGGCAGGTAATATGAATTGAGCTTCCTATGTATCTGATGTACATATGTCTAGATATCATATGCATTGTGTGTCTGTGCATGCACATATATATATAGATTTTTCTCTACGAAGATTGCGGGGCCGAGCAGGCGCACTCGGTGACGCCTCGGTGAGGTGGGGGGCGTGGAGGGCGGGTTCCGGCTTGGCGGGTTTCCAAGTCCACGACCACCCCACCAGGGTCACCAGGGTGGCTTTTACCACCGACCAGGGCCACGACTACAATCACCGCGCCGACCGCGACTACCACGATTACCGCCGCGACGACGACACTCACGCCCACCGCGCCTACCCTGTCGGCGTCGATCGTCCCCCCCCCTCATTTTCCCTCCCTGCCCCCCTCCTCGCTCTCTGCTTGGCCGCTCTTGCACGCAGTTCGCCATCCTCCTCCTTCTCCGCCTCCTCCCTTACTCGCACGCCGCAGCGAGAGTCCTTCGTCCTGCCCGCAGGTGTTCGATGAGACGTGAGCTCCGATGCCTCCAGCGTGTTGCCCCGCCCTGTGCCACGTTGGCTTCGTGAGCTAGTGTTTGGCCCCTCCCCTTCCCTTTTCCTCCCCAAGGGGGAAGGATATACACATATAGATTTATGGAAGTATATACATCTGTAATATGTGTGTATGTGCACGCTTCCAGCTGCCTGCGGCACGTCTTTTCCACCTTACCAGCCCAACTTGTCTACCGGCGATTGTTGTTCGAGGGGGGCGCGGGAGGCCATCGCGTATGTCATTTCGTGTCTCCAGGCTTGGGACATCCGTGAAGCGGATGATGAGGGATGTGAGGATGATGAGAATGATGTTTCTGATGGTGATGTTGATGCTGATGGTCATGTTGATTATGGTGATGCTGATGTTGATGATGGCATGGGGCAGGATAAGGATGAGGATAAGGTCCTGTGGGGTCTGAGTCTCAGCGCCTACCGAAAAGGCATGCCGACCCCTGGGCGAGATATGAATACAAGCCCCAAAACGGTGAAGTTCGAGGGCCGCCTGGCATGGGACAGGAGGATGAGGAAGAGGAGGAGGAGGAGGAGGAAAAGGAAGGCCGTCAAATGTGACACTTTTTTCGTTATTTCAGGAGCTCTCGTGGCACTCGCTTGGGCCGTCCTTGGGCTGTCTTGGCATCCTGTGAGGCAGTCTTGGTGTATTTGGACCATCTTGGTGCCACTCTGGCTGCCTGGTAAAGTATGGGGGCCGTCGTGGGGTCGTTTTGGCGCCGTCGAAGGGCTGTCTAAGGTCGTCTTGTGTCCCACGGGAGGCACCTCTTGGGCTGTCTTCTGGCCGTCTTGGATGCCTCCTGGGTCCTCGTGGGGTCCTCTTAGGCCATCTTTGAAGCCTCGCGGGAGCCTCTTGGGCCGTCATGGGGCCTTCGTGGAGGCGCCTTGGATTTTTTGAGCTGACGGAAGTCCGAACAGACGAGAATGCGAACACGGTTCAAACTAAACCAGGGGACATCAATACGTTGTTTTGTTCGGGTCATGATGGAGGCTGCCTTGTTGGCCTTTTGGGCCTTTTTCGGGTGCAGTTTGGGCAGTCTTAGGGCCATCTTCGGCCGCCCTGGGGCCAATTTGGTTTGTCCCCGAGGTATCGTCGGCCATCCTGGTGTCCTCAGTGGCCTGCATGGGCCGTCTTGGAAGTTCGGGATGCGGACCCATCGGTTTTAGCTGGAGATCGTGGCCTCGCAACCGCGGATCCACGGCTTCTCTTACGGGGGATCGTGGCCTCGGGGGGGGGGGCGCACGCAGCATTCTAGGACGAGGTGGGGGAACCCCTTCCTTGAATGCAGAATGCAGAGTAGTAGCCCCCGGCATTCTCACGCCCGCGTCGTGCAGGCGAGGTGGCAGATGTGGTGACAGCTATCTTGTGGGCTCAGCGCGAGTGGGGCCCACGAGGCGGCAAGTGGGCGGCAACGTGGCGAGCACCCGACACCCCCCCCCCAGGTGCGGAGCGCCCAAGAGGGGGCACGTGCGGCAGCGTGGCGAAGCCCCGACAACCCTTGAGCGCTCAGGCGCGGGGCGCCCACGAGGTGGTGCGTGCGGCAACGTGGCGAAACTTGACGTACTTACGCCCCAAGCGCGGGGTGCCCACGGGCGGCAACGTGGCGACACTTGACGTACTTACGCCCCAAGCGCAGGGTGCCCACGGGCCGCAACGTGGCGAAGGCCCGACATGCCCATCGAGCTTTTGTTTGTATGAGAGCCAAGTCGAGAGCCCGAGCTGCAAACGACACTGTTTGGGGAGCATGCACATGCATCAGTGTGCATATGGGATGCAGAGAGAGATTATACTAATACGAAGAATCAGAACCTAATCGAGCGAGAGAAAGAGAGAGAGAGAGAATATAGAAAAGAGAGAGAGAGAGAGAGAGAGAATGAGGGAGAGAGAGAGAGAGAGAGAGAACCATAGCACTGCTGGTCTTTGGTTTTGTGCATGCGCTCCAGAAGCATAACGGATGTGGGATGCAACGCCTCAGCGCCAAACCATGTGATTTTCTAGTCCATGTCCAAGGAGGATCCTCTTGAATGATCTCCTCCTGCTGGAAGCTTGACTGCCTCATTTCTGCGCTCTTCGTCTGATGCCCCTCCTTCCATGCGCACCACACAATGAACGAAGGCAGAGTGGGGGTGTCGCACATGCCGAAAAGGGGGGGCATAGGTTTAGTTTGTCTGGCGTCGTTGCTCCGCACTTCGCCTTCCCGCGAAGGATCCGCTTCGGGGGAGCCGACGCCGGGTGGATCTCGCTGAAGTCCACCGACGGGCAGAAGGTCTGGGCCGAGAAGGTGGCCGAGGCCGCACGCCTTTCCGATTTCCAGTCCCCCCAGGATGGTGTCAGAGTGGATGGGGTCGGAGGATTGCGCCGCATCTCCGATGTATCGGCGATGTGGCTCGATAGAGGGCCGATTTCCTCCACGCCGACGGCGCCGATGCATATGCAATGCGTAGGCGATGCATGGGTGATGCGGCGGGATCCTCGGACCCCATCTACTCGGAACCCACTTGCGAGGCTTCGACCAATGGCACTGCGACGATCGATGTGTATTTCCGTCGAAATGGAAGGTGCTTGTGTGGGTTCCTTGCTGTGATTTCGTTCAAGCTCAGCTGTCTGGATAGCCCGGCGTCCGAATCTGGTATGTGAAGGACGTGCGCTGCCCCTGGTGCTTTCGACCCTCCTGGGGCACTCCAGGCCGATTCGGTAGGCGACCGGGTTCCCGGGTTCCCGGTTCCGGGTTCCCACGTTTGTGGTTCCGGATTCCGGGCCGATTTCGGTGGGCGGCGGGTTTCCCGGGTTCCAGGTTCTTGGTCGACCTTGATGTCGATCGGTTTTGCCATCGATCTCATTATTTTCCTCGCTATCGATCGCACTATCGACCTCATTATCGATCTCACATTCGATCGAGCGACCTTACGATCGATCTCATTATCGATTTCATTGGATCGACTTCATTACCGGTCTCAAGATCGGCTTTTCAATTGTCCTCACTGTCGATTCCATTATCAATCTCACAATCGATTTCAATATTCACTAATGTTGAAACCATCCACTGATTGGCTGTTTTCTCTGGTGTCTTCCTTTGTTGACATGTTTGGACTCTTTGGGCCTCTAGACGCCCCAGAGGGAAAGGGTACGTAGCGGTGGTTGGCTGTTGTGTCAGGAGGGGATGACGAGCAGGCAGAGGATGAAGATGACATGGCCGGCGCACATTCGTCTCCATAGAGTCCTCGCTGATGTTTGGGTGGCCACGAAGCTCTCCACCGAAAACCCCGGCCTCCCTGTCGGATGGCCGAAATCTGAGGACATGGGGCCACAGACCAGCGTGCGTTCTCTTTCTCGGCGACGGCGAATGTCAGGCGCAACCTGCACAGTCGGCCCTGATTGGCAGGTCCACCCTCCCAAACCGAGAGTACCCTTGTGTCCTGTATCGCGCGGCCCATGCCTCCTACGTTCCTGTGGCAATCTTGCCCTTGAAAGGGTTGGGAAAATCAGCTACGTGACCTGATTCTCAAACCCCCCCTATGCTATCCCCCCCTTTCGCACGACCCCAAAGGGTCCCGTGTCCCCTCGCGCGTCCTGTCCAATCAGGTCCGACAGTGTGGGGACCAGAGCACCCACAGCCTCGGCAGGGCGCAGCAGCGCCCCGTTTTTGAGCCGAGCCTCGGCACCCCGGAGCCACCCCGAGGCCTCGGACGTCCGCGGGGCGGCGAACGGGTCCGGCCTCGCTCCTCCTCCTCGCTTCTCCTCCTCGCTTTTCCTCGCTTCTCCTCCTCCTCCTCCTCCTCGATCCTCGATCCTCCTCGATCCTCCTCCTCCTCCTCCTCCCCCCCCTCGTCACCCGTCCGAGGTTTTATGATTAGTTGGACTCTCGGGGGGCAGCCTTGGGAGGCTGTGTGGCCACTCTACTGCGATTCTGGCGGCCATTCTTGAGCCAGCTCCAGCCAGCACGGAATCTCTGACGCCTCGTGGGTGGGCCCGTCTATCACCAGGGAGAGATTGGGGAGGCGGAAGACCGCCAGGTAGAGAGATGCATAACGTGTTCGGATGTCGCCCATATCGATTGCGGCTGCGGATTTGCTCGTCGATATTTGCTTTATTTGGTCGGTGAGACGCGCGGCACGCGCGCGAGATAACAGACCAGGCGACCTGGCTCGAGGGTTTCTTGCGTCCGTAAAGCAACAGGGAGGGTTTGCTGGGGAGGGTGTAAATCCCGCCTGAAGGGGGCGAGCGGTTGGTCTAGACGTGCCCGTATGTTTCAGGCCACTTGCGCCCTGAGAGCAGGCTCGACTCATGGCAGAAAGCTTCCAGACCTTGACACGTTCGCATTCGGTTTATCCGACAGTCCGACTCATGAAGATGTTGTGTAGTTTGCAATATTCATTTGGTCTTGATGGGCATGAAAACAGCTCGTTCCGAAGTGCCTTGCACGCTCCAGAGCAGGGGAGCTGACCTAGTTTGCGAGGTTGGCCCTGCCGTTACATTCAGTTCTCGCACGCGTTTCTCGTTTCCCTGGATCTGCCAGTCCTGGCCAGTGCCTCTCAGTGGCTCGGATGTGTATCTACCATTTGGTCGGAGTTCGGTTGCCACCTTCACTGGCCGGTTGCTCAGTCAAGGTTTCCCGAACCGGCCATTTCAGTTTTTGAGTCGCACATCCAGCTTGATTATACATGTCAGGGAGGCCTAGGAGCCTAGGATGAGAACAACATGTTCCCGAGCGTTTTGGAACGCGCTGAGTGCGTTCTGGAACGCTCTGGATCGGCCGTGGCGCCCGATATACATCCCCAAGACCAGGCGGCTCTCAAGTATTCCCGAGTTCCCTGAGATCGACGTCGCGAAAGAAATGCAACATCGGGAATAAACCCGACCGATGCCCCACTTTCTGCTGCATACTTCGAGCCAGATCGATCCGTGAGGGTCCCGGGGCTTGAAGCCGGGCGAAAACGTCTGGTGTGGACAAACATCAAGTCCTAAGTATCAGGGTTGTCCCGCCCCGATGTTCTCTCTGTGCAGGTCCCTCAAAACATAAGCTCCGGGTCGCTCCTGTCGTCTTCGTGTCTACGCTGGACTTGAGGGCTTCCTTTGGAGCAGCTGTCCTCGCCCAGCTGACTTCGCGTGCTGCTCCCGTCCTGCCGGATAGCCTGCGTGGCCTTAGAGAGGAGGAGGGAGGGAGAGGAGGGTCGAAGGGATAGGGGGGGAGGGGCGAGCAAGTGAGTTGGGTGAAAGAAGGGGGCGGGAGGGAGGGAGCAAAAGAGGGAGGAGGAGGAGGAGGAGGAGGAGGAGGAGGAGGAGGAGGAGGAGGAGGGGGAGGACCAGTGACCTTTCTTCCAGGTTTACGAGCGGGCCACCATTGACAGTTTCTCGGTGGAGCAGGAAAGACCGAGGAATTGCTAATGGGGGACACGCTTGGCTCAGGGAACCCCCAACTCGCAGCCTGCTGTGGGGGCTGCTGGATGGGGGCCAGCCCAGGCTAGAAAACCCCAAGCCGGCATCCTTGAGGGCGGCAATCTGCGCGCAGCGGTCGCAGCAACCACCGCTTGGTGGCGAACAGCGGGATTATGCATGAGAGCCAGAGCTCCTGCCAGGCATGTTGTAACGGCCTGACCGAATCAATGGGCCGCCGGCTACTTGGGCATGTTGCGCAGAGGCCATTCAGCCCCCAGCCGTGGCATGGATCGCTGGTGAAGGGCGGCCGGCATCGGCAGACGACATCGGACGAACTTGCCTCCCCTCGGGCGTCGGGATGGTGGCCACCCCTGTCTCGGGCCACGCCGACGACTGTGCGGGGGGCTGGAAGGGGAGATGGGATGAGCGAAGCAGGGAGGATGAGAGCGGGGGCGACTAGGGAGAGGCGGGGGGTGGGAAATTGGGGAGGAGGGATATGGAAACGGAGCCAGATCGAGGGGGATGGGGCCGACTTGCATTGCTAGCGCGGCTCCGCGTCTGCGGGGCGCGAAGCCCCTCATCCCCAACGCAATGCCACCTGTCGCGCTCCGTTGGCAACTGCGGCCTACTTGCCGGCGATTTCGGAGCATGCCAGCCCATCTTCATCCTTCCTGCGCCCTCAGCGCAAGGTGTGGACGCGTCGGCGGGGGAGGGCGGAAGGAGCAGGCGACGAAGATCCAGACAGATGCGCTGAAGGCCTTTGAGCCAAGATTTTGCGTCAACGAGACGCTGCTAGGCTACGCAATGCGATGCCGAAGTTGTTATCCCACTTGCAGGGGTTGTTATCCTAGTATGTGCTGTGCCTACTGCGGTGACCGAGGCCAACGATGTAAGAAGTGGGGAGAGGCACTCGGAATGGGCGGGAAACGAAGGAGATGCGACGCAGAGCCGAAGCGACCGCGAATGGTTTGTTTTTCTTCCCGCGGACTGCCCCAATAACTCTGCGGGAGCGCGTAACCGACTCCTGCCATGCACGAGGGAGGCCACCCTGCCCCCCTCAAGCGGGGGGCTCCGCAGGTTAGCAGCTAGCACCTTGCAACAAGGTGTCTGGAGGAACGCAGTGGAGGGCGGCCCTTGGCTGGGGGATGGTGGGAAGGTCGGCGTGGCAGGAGGGGGGAGGATTGGGACGGCCCTGCCACGCCCCGGCACCGGTTGCCGGAGAGAACTAACAGGAGCAAGGCGACGCGAAGCGGCCAATCGAGGCGGGAAGGGAAAAGGGATTGGGGCTGCCTGGGATGGTGAGGGGATGAGAGGTGGAATGTGCTGCAATCGTACATGGTTATTGAATGAAGAAGGGGGAGGAGGAGCAGGAGGAGGAGCAGGAGGAGAAGCAGGAGGAGGAGGAGGAAAAGGAGGAGGAGGAGGAGGGGGAGTAGGACGAGGAGGAGGAGGACCATTGACCACTGACCGTTCTTCCAGGTATGCGAGCGCGCCGCCATTAACAGTTTGTCGGTGGAGCAGGAACGACAGTGGAATTGTTTGGGGAACCCCCACCTCATAGCCTGTTGTGGGGGGTTGTTAGATGGGTGCCAGCCCAGGCTAACAACCCCCAAGCCAGCTTCCTAGAGGGCGGCAATCTGCGCGCAGCGGTCGCAGCAGCCACCAGTTGTTGGCTAACAACGGGATTATGCACTAAAGCCACCTGCCATAAATGTTGGATTGGCCTGACGGAAGCAATTGACCGCGGGTTACTTGGGCATGTTTCGCAGAGGCCCTTAGCCCCCAGCCCTGGTACGGATCGCTGGTGAAAGGCGGCCGACATCGGCAGACGACATCGGACGATCTTGCCTCCCCTCGAGCGTCGGGAGGGTGGTCACCCCTCTTTCGGGCGACGCCGTCGACAGTGCGGGGGGCCGGGAAGGGGAGATGGGATGAGCGAAGCAGGAGGGATCAGAGCGGGGGCGACTAGAGAGAGGCGGGGGGTGGAAACTTGGGGGGGGGGAGAGGGAGATGGAAACGGGGCCATCGGCCTTCCTAGAGAGATGTGGCCGACTTGCATTGCTAGCGACGCTCCGCGTTTGCAGGGAGCGAACCCCCTTGTCCCCAACGCAATGCTACCTGTCGCGCTCTGTTGGCAACTGTCGTCTGCCTGCTGGCGATTCCGGAGCATGCCAGCCCATCCTCATCCTTCTGGCGCCATCGGCGCAATGGGTGGATGCGTCAGCGGAGGAGGGCGGAGGGAGGAAACGACGAAGATCTAGACAGATGAGCTGAAAGTGTTCGAGTCTAGATCTTGTGTCAGCGAGACGCTGCTAGGCTACGCAATGCGATGCGACGCAGCAACAGACAACGCACAGATTTGAAGAAGGCTCCACGAGGCCCCCCAACACTTGCTGCACTTACGTAGGCGGCGTTAAGTGCAGCAAGTGCGCCTGCGTGCGAAGAAGGCCCGAAGAGGCCCCCGCAGCTTGCTGCACTTAGGCATCGCTAAGGGCAGCAAGTACGTTTGCGTGCCGTGCGACACCTAGGAACCCGATGCAACGCACCTGGATGGAACAACGTAGGATTGACATTGCTGGGACCTTAAGCTTACTCGCCACAGAAATTGTCACCACCGCGCCGCTTCGCTCTGTATTGTCTCAAAACGCGCGGCGCGCGATGCACTCTACTCTACGCCTTAGCTACTGCTGCCCCGCCCGACAGGGCGGACAAATCCTGACCCCCCCCGATAGCGCGAGAGCGGAAACGGGAAAGGGTCAACACGCGACATGTTATCACGGATGCTACTGCGTGCTGCCGACGTCGTTATCCCACTTGGTGGGGTTTTTGGCCTAGCCTGTGTTGTGCCTATTGCGGTGACCGAGTTCAGCGATGCAAGAAGCGGGGAGATGCACCCGGAATGGGCGGGGAACGAAGGAGATGCGACGCACAGCCGAATTGACCGCGGTTAGGTGTTCCCCTTCCGCGCGCTGCCCCAATAATCATACTGGAGCGAGTGGCAAAACCAGTGGACGTTAGAGCAGCCGACTCCTGCCACGCACGAGGGAGGCCACCCTGCCCCCCTCAAGCCGGGGGGCTCCACAGGTTAGCAGCTAGCACCTTGTAACAAGGTGTCCAGAGGAATGCGGTGGAGGGTGGCCCCTGGCTGGGGGATGGTGGGGAGGTCCGCGTGGCAGGAGGGGGGAGGATTGGGACGGCCCTGCCACGCCCCGGCACCGGTTGCCGGAGAGAACTAACAGGAGCAAGGGGAACCGAGTGAAGCTACACCGCGGTGACACGAAACGTGGGTTTCACCTGAAGGCCGCGCCCGCGACCGCGGGCAGCCCATCCCTTGTGGGGGGGTGCGGCGGAGGACGAAACGGAGGAAGAGGAGGTGGCCTGGCTCTTGGGCGCTTCCAACTCCTGCCAAAGTTGAAGCAGCGCGCTGAATGGGAGGAGATCGCCCTTGATAATATTGAACTCCCCTCTACTGCCCCGCCCGACAGGGCGGACAAATCCTGCCCCCCTCGAAAGCACCTGGGCGGAACGGGAAACGGGAGAACACGCGACATGTTACCGCAGATGCTACCGCACGCTGCCAAAGTTGTTATCCCACCTGGTGGGACTGTTCGCCTGGTGTGCGCACCTTGCGGGAGCCCGCGCCCGCGAACCTCCTCGCCTGCGGGCGTGCAGACGCAGCCTCGACTGAGAACGAGCCGAGCGGGCCCCCGCCTGGAGACGAACAGGAAAAGTGGAGTGGAGGTGCGCACAGCGACCTAGCGTAAGCAGGTGCGGCGCTGCGGATGTAAATCCTCCTGCCGTGATGTCGAGTCGGGCTGGCAGGAACAACGGACCGCGAGCTAGTTGGGCGAATCGGCCCACAGTCCTTGCATACTTCCCAGGATATTGCCTAACAGCGGGCGGCCGGTATCTCTGAGCTCCAGCCCTGTTTATTGAGTCGGTCTGGCCGAAACATCGGGCCGCAGGCTAGTTGGGTATGCGGTGCATGGCCTTCGCCCACAACCCTGGCAGAGTTCCAGCGATGCTGGCCCTAGCCTAAACAGGAGCGGCGCTGCGGGTGCCAAGAAGCCTGCTGTGAATGTTGGGTCGGGCTGGCCGAAACAAAGGACCGCGATTTGGTTGGGCACGCTATGCACAGCCGGCCCCCGGCCTCTGGCTTTTGTGATCGGGGTGCTCGTCGGGCCCAGGATGGGCCCTTCGAAGCCGCTCCGTGCTCCCCCGACCACCTCGAGTGCCAGGGAGGCTGGGAAGTTTCCGGAACGGGAGGAGGAGGAGGAGGAGGAGAAGGAGGAGAAGGAGGAGGAGGAGGAGGAGGACGAGGAGGGAGGGAGGGAGGAATGGAGGGGAGGGGCGAGGGAGGGAGGGTGAAGATGAGGGGGGACGAGGCAGGCGGCCCTGGCGGGGGCTCGGGCGCGCCACGTGGGCACATGGTTTTCCGAAAGTCAGAGCAGCTGGCACCGGTGGCGCGCATAAGGAGCTGGCGCGAGGGGGTCGGCGGCTTTGCAGGGATCGGGCCGACCGAAAAGGGGGGATGGGGAAAGGGGGGGTTACGAAATCTGCTGCGTGCAGCTGATTTGGGCCCCGCCGCCGGGCCCGGTCCTCGATGCACGGGCAGCGCCGGGAAATCGGCTACGTGAGCTGATTCTCAAACCCCACCTTTGGTATCCCCCCTTTCGCCCGGCCCGAGAGGAGCCGCGGGGGGCTCCTGAGAAAATACGGCAGGGTCGCGCCGCGTTGACGCGACAGCGCCGCCAGCTCGGGCGTTCAGTCTTGAGCACCGCCGGCGGCCCAGCGTCGGCGGACTGCGACAGGGCAGCGAGATCCCGGAGCCGCGGTCGTGCAGGGTCGAGCGATCCCGTCGGCGTCGGAAGCCAGCGCCCACGTCGCGACGCGAGCCCGCCGCAAGGGCCTCCTCAGAGCCCCCCCCAGCTTCCGATAAGCCTTATCTCAGGAGGGGAAAAAACACAGACACAATGAATCGTCGATTCCCCAGAAAATATGGGAAAATATAGGAAGTGGGGGGGAAGACGAAAACCCAGAAATATAGGAAAGTATGAGGAATCCTTGTATTTGTGTGTATTTATTTGTGTGTGTCCCAGGGCCCCTTCATTCTCAGCAGCTCCCAGGCCCTCCCGAGAAGGCCCCTTCCTCTCAGGGCGCCCCCGGCCTCCTCACAAGGGGGGGCGGGCCCCTCGCGCCGTGCCCGCCTCCACCTGCAGGCGGGGGGGGGCCTTTGTGGAGAGAGCTCCGGGCCCGCTGTGCCACCTCGGAGCTCGACCCAAAGGGTATTTTTGTTGGCGAGTTCGTGGGCCGTTTTCGTCTCGACGCTGTGTGGCAGCAGAGGCAGAACGAAGACAGAGCAAAGGGAGCACTAAAACGAAGCGAAAACGAGAAACACCGTTTGAGCGGATCCTCGTGCCATCTCAGGGGGTTCCTGTGAGCTCGCCGCCGTCGCCCCCAGGAGCACGTGTCCTCTCAGAGGCGTGAGGTGAGCGCTCGGTGCGTGCACGTTCTGCGCCAGTTGTCGTGTGGCGTGTCGTCAGCCACGGAGGGTGCCTGTAGGAGCTGTGGATCACGGACAACAGCGTGCTCAACGCCGACAGCCCTGGCATCGCCTACAGGCACAGCCAGAGCATCGATGACCGCGTGGAGGATCAGCTTGTGTGCTGGGGCCAGGCTTCACAGTGCGAATCCCCCGCTTGCCGCCGTGCGCTTTCTTTGGCTGGTACCTCCGCTTACCTCCGCTTATTGCGCTGCCGTGAATGTATACCCACCGCCACACCTTGGGGAGGGGGGCTGTGGAGGCAGTGGTAGCCCCATCGCAGGTTATGTTAGCCGCGAGGATGCTCTCACGAAATGCCAAGAGTCTCGGGACTTGGAGCAACCAGTCGACGCACAGCTCAGAGCAGCAAGAGGTCAGACTATTGACATACCAAGATTTCCAGGATGCTCAACAATCCCAAATGTTTCGCACGAGGCTACAGAAACGAGGGCTGCCAGATACTCATGAATTCTTTGAACATGCTCTGCGTCGATCGCATCATGACAACGCTCTCGTCCCAAAATTGGCCTCAACGTGCAGCTAGAAAGTGCAACTTTCTTTGCATCGCATTCGGCAGTAGTGAGGGAGAGACAGCCGACCAAAGACAAACATCAGCTGCATCACGCAGCGCCTTGGTCGCTCGTTGAAAGTACCAGGAAGCTGGATACACGGGATGCGACCAGGAAGCTGGACGCACAAGTGGCTGGATGTCTTGCCAGCGCTCGGCCCTTTTTCTGTGCCTGGTACGCTGACATCTGTATCCGTTGCTTGGCCTCCATCCATATGGTCCAGGTGTGAATCCAGCCGTATGTGTGTGTGTGTGTGTGCGTGTGTGTGTGTGTGTGTGTGTTGCTAGCTTCCTGTTAGGATTGTTTGGGGTCCCGATCTGCGTCAGGCGCCTTCCTGTTTTCAGAAGCGAAAGGTCATCCCTTGTTTTTCCTTTCCAGGGGGCAGGTGGGAACCCAGTCTTCTTGCAGCGTCTTCTTGCTTCATGGTTCTATCTACTTTTTCCGAATGATGGGTCCTAGCCACATGGCGACAGGAACTCATGTGCGCACACGACAGGGTCCATTTTGATTCGATGGATTCCATCCGACATCAATGATCAATGCCGCTGTTCTTGAACACGTTGGGGTAGTTGTTTCTGCTTGCAAGTTTTCGTGTTGCGTTTGACCAGCACAGAAAAGCGGAACCCAAAACAGAACACGCGACGGACACGGAAACCATAACACATACGGAAGTAAAGTACAATTTGAAACGGATCGCACAGACGGCAATCGCAAATTGGAGAAGACGCGGCTCCGCAAAGAAAACACGTCGATCTTGAAAATTGGAAACATTTTCTCTGCTTTTTTTATTCATTTTTATTTTTAATGTTGACGATCTGGACCAGGCCGATGATTTTACGGTAGTGCCGTGCATCTTGACCCTACTCGCTTTCAATTCCGTTCCGATGCAACTCGATCCGTCGCACGTTCCGGCTCGACCAGAACTCTCTTTTTCGAGGTTGACCATATCTTGGAACATGGGACGTCTGTTACATCGGCCAGTGGCACAGGCGGAATGCAGTCAACAAAGGGTTTCATTTGAATTCTGTCTCCTAGCGTAATTACCCTGCATCCGGCGGTGTGTAGCAGCATTCAGCATGCAACGACGTCCCGTCATGATTTGAGAGGGGCTGCCTGTGAGGTCCCCGTGAGTCGGGTTTCGGCCTCGGGGAGTCTCGTGCACGATACCCCAGATGCGCTCATGCACTCTGGCAAATGTTTGGGTCGGGGCCCGTACAAACATGCACTTCTTCTATCAGTCACAGCTGTATGAGCCTTTTGGCATTTCACTATGTTCTCGAGGCACGAAAACGGAATTTGACAGCGTTCGCCATTACGTAGACGCCTCTCTCTCACGCTCTGTTGCGCGCTCTCACACCCTCTCTCGTTCTCGCTCCCTCTCTACCTCTCTTCACTCTCATCTGTTTGGCTGACCCTTTCTGTTGGATTCCCGCGCAGAGGCTGTGAGGGGTTGCGTGACACCGAATGGTGATTGGCTGGAGGCCCGGGTTGCTCTGGCTACTTTCTGGATTTCATCGGATGCATGTCGAGCGAGGTTCGGTATCCACGTGCTCCACACGGATTTCCTTGCATGATGGCTCATGAGAATGTAGCGCTGCTGAATCCTTCTCTTCCGCAAGGGGCTGCTACCTATGTCGTGCCCGCTGCTGCCGGCGCCATCATGTTGCCGTACGCGCGACACCGACCAAACCCATTCTTGTTTTTTTTCTCTTCTTCCATTGGGCGCGAACTCACCTTGTGGCTATCACTGATATGTGAACCCGTCAATTTGGACATCGATGTTCGAGGCGTAGTTGGACAGCCGAATGCGTGCTTCTGTATGACCTCCTAGCAGCGATTGGAAATGATATCGCCGCAGCACGTTGTTACTTGACATGCCGTCTACCACTTGTTTCATAGTAGGGCAAGCATGGTCTCGATGCGCGTTCTGGCGTTAGCTTGTACGAGTACCCAGCTATGGCTGGAATTCCGTATACTGCCAATGATGGCTTACATTCCCTAGACATGGTTTTGAGCAGCCAGCAAGATTGCGGAGATTCCGCTTAATCTTTTTTTGCACCTTGCAGGTTGGGCTAGTGAGATTTTCAGATCGTTGGATTTTTCCTTTGTGTCATCGCAGCTGGATCGGGAATTGCCGCCCTCATTGCGCAATCTGCACGAGGTCGGGAGCCTTTTCCTGCCGATGAAGCTTGACGGCGTGGTCGTTTTGCGGCGACAGGATCGAGCATTTGTCTGCCTGGTTATCCTACATTCCGCCATCGATTGTGCAGTTTGTTTGGCGCATGGTTGCCGTATGCAAGTTGTCTCGATCGTTGTGTGTTGGCCAAGTTTTTTCCCGGGATTCAATTGATGAGCGTCTTACGTTGATGTTGTTGATTATGTTTCGATGGTCGTTGGATGCCCTTCAATCTTTGGCCCATCGATATTCGTGATGAGCAGTAGGTCAGGTCGATGGTGACTTCTGGGAAGCTCTGCTGGGGAGGGACGCGACGCCTCGGAACTGGTTCGTCTCATGTCCGTGCTCGCGGCATTTTCAACCACGTACCGAACTTCCTGAGATACTGTCTAGTTTCAGGGCAGGATTCCTTCGAGCGCCCCTTAGATGGTACGGTATGCATTCGCCCCCCTTCGGGTCTCGTTCCCTGGGTCTCCCGAGCTGGTCCTCCGGGCCGCTGGGGCCCTCTGGGTACACCCGCGGGGATGCTGGCTTCGGAGGCAGAGAGCCGCCCCGCTAATGTCTTACGTGGCTGAACTGTTTGTGGGGAGATGCCGGACAGAGTGGCGATGACTGCGAGGTACTTGCATGCGCCACCTCGCCAATGTCGGTCATCACTGAACTTTCGAGTCGTCCCGGTCAGACCACCTTTGCCCTGTCCCCGACATTCGATGGGCGTCTATCGACATTGAAGGGCGCGCCGACGTCACAGGGTTGTGGTCGCCATTTTTGAGGTTAATTTTGACGAGGGTAGTAGTTTGCTCTGCCTCAAGCTCGACTCGATCGATCCGGTCTGGATACCTATTTCGCCCGGCTCGATCCGACTCGATTCCGTGATGAGTTTGAAGGATCAGGTGCGGCCAGATGTTTGGCACAGCGCAGTTGCTTCTGCGGGCGCGGCCGATCCGATCCGATCTCGGCTCCGTGCACATGCAGCCCGATCGGGCGCACGGTCCGAGTCGATCCGATTCCCCGATGAGATGTCGATTGATCCTGCCCGTCGGGCGAGACCCGACCCGCTCGCCGCCCGTGTGGGTCCAGACTCCCCTGGTCCGAGGCGGAGGTTTTCTCGTCACCGCCGCAAGAGGGATCCGTTTTCGAGGGTCTCGGACGGCGGCGGACATGGACATATCCAAAGCCAATGAAGTTCCTCGATGATCGACCCTCCAGATGGTGGCCAGTTATAGATGATCCCCGCCTCGAACCTGGGGGCCTTGGTTTTCCATGGGCTTCCAGGGGAGTTCGGGCCCACTTTGTCGCCTGGCGGGTCGCTGCTTGCGAGCGAGGTCTGGGAACAAGGCAGGCTCTCGTTGTGGCTGGGGGACGAGGAAGCACCATCGCTCCATGGCTGTGAGTGCGGCGCAGGTTGAGACTAACCGAGCTTCTCTGCAAGGGCTCCCGTGATGGTGCGAAATTACTCGTGTTTCGCGGTTCGCGGTCTGGGCGTTCTGCGCCATGTTCTTCATCATTCGTCCTCCTCATTTTTGGTCATCCTCATTCCTCGTCCTGTTCTTTTCTTCCAGCGGGGCGGCTCGGCAGCGCCAGAAGGCGACGCTATTCGCGCCTCGCGCTTCGCGCAGTTTGGAGCGCGAATGTAGGAGCTCATGGTTGATTTCAGCACCCGTTCATCCCCCTTCGAAGGCTTTCTCACTTGCGCTGTCCTGCCTCCTCTCAGAGCCGTATCCCGGTCTTGCTCTCCACGCGCTCGCCGCGACTAGAGAGCGGTCCTATTCGAGGGCGATTGTTTAATTGGCAGGCAGTCGGCGCCGCCAGACGTTGATTGGGGCAGGTTCCGCTTCGATGTTCAAGATTTGCTCTTCGTACAAAGTACAACAAGCCGAGGAGGACACGTCCTCGGCGCCGCGCACAGAGATCACGCGCCACGCATCGACGACGTCCTCAGCCACCCTCGGTCAGGACTGCTCATGCACTGCCAGTGGAGTGATGGGAGCTGGGAGTGGCAGCAAGAAAAGCAGTGGGGCAGCGCCACGCGTGCATCCGAGTAAGGGGGATGGTGTGGCACGTGACGCGTGCACAATGCCGCACTCTCCTGCGGAGCACGCTGCGCATGCTCCGCGGCGTGCATGCAGGGCTTAGGCGCGAGGGGGCGGCCTCCTTGCGAGTGCAGGGGGGGGGATCCCAGGAGCCCAGGCCACCCGAGGTCGTCCGCGGGGGCGCGAAGAGGATCGCGCAGCGCGCGTTGCGGCATGGGACGGCGCTCTTCTCCAGGACGGCGGCGCGAGTGCTCGGAAACCTGCGCGCGTCGCGCCCGGCGGGGCGCGCCGCGCGACCCTCGGCGACCGGCTCGAGCTCTCCGGAATGGGCTCCGAGTGTTCCTGAACGCTTCGGGGAGGCCGCGCGGCACACGACACAGCCTCCAGAGCCGCTGGATCTCAGAGATGTCCGATCTGTCTTGGTCCGATGCTGTTCCTGGCCTGGCTTCTCGTCTTGGGCGACCGGCAACCCTCCGCGAAATCAAGTGCAAACGTGTTCCAACACAATTCGCCCTCCCCTCCAATGTCAAGGTTCAGCTACGCGTGCAACACGAAAAGCACGATGTCTACGCGGGGCCCGAAGAAGAGCAGTATAAGTCATCAGTTTCGGCGCGAACATCGAAATTTGGGGGTGCGGGGGCGCCGCCACATCGAGGAGGAGAAAACCTTCACGCCAATCGCGCCAAGACAACGGATAACGCTACGTCGAAGTGCAACCGAACAATTGATAGCCCCCTCCCCAAACCCAAGATTGACAGCGGTGTTCGCGAGGCAACGCGCGAAGGACAATATTTGGACACCAACCTTGAGCTTGTGGGGCAGGGGGTGCAGGACATAGGTTATACGCACGATATGTGATTCGACATCACGTGATTTGGTCTCTTTGCCATGGGTTCACGAGCGGCGAACATATCCGTATGCGCGCCCAGGATGGGCATGGGACTTCGTTGTGTGCCGGCCACCGTTGTGTTCGACTTCGTTAGGTGTTCAATCATGGACCCTTTGTTGGACGCAACCATCCAGCTTTCGCGCCGAAGACCGCTGGAAACCGCCAAATACCGATGGAAACCGCCGAAGACTGTCACAAGACCGCCGAGAACCGCCGAACTCCGCTAGAAGACCGCCGAAGACGCTCCATGAGAGAAGGGTAACAATAGGTCGATGGTCGAGCACGTAAGATTTCGAAGAGAGTTGTGTATGGAGCCCTCCCGCCTTCCAGGGTGCCCTCTTCGGAGCAGCCGGGCCCCTGGAAGGCGCCCTCCCGCCTCGGCAGGCCTCCTCGTGCTACGCGGCCCCGTTCCGCTCGCCGACGCAGCGCGCCGCCGTCGTCGTCGACGCCGCCGCCGTCGTCGTCGACGTTGTCATCGCCGTCGTCGACGACGGCGTCGACGTCCTCGGAGGTCTGCTCAACCCATTCGCCAGCTTCGCGGAGGAGCTGGGCAGGTGGGGCTCCGAGGATCGCCGCGCTCTCCTCTGCTGCCTCACCAGCTCGTGTGTCCTTGCCGCGCGCGGGGCGCTCTGGAGAGGGCCTCGCCTCCGAGAGCTCGAGGAGCTGCCTCGTCGGGCGCCAGCGGAGAGAGAGCGAGGGTGGCTCGGGGCGCACGTGACGGGGCTCGGCACCAGCTGGGTCAGCCAAGGCGCCAGACCCTGCGGGATCCTACAGGAAGCCGGAGTTTGGCCGAGCTGTGTTCGGGAGCCGCGCGCGGCTTTGGAGGTAGCCTGAAATATCACCTCAGCCGGATTGGGGACGCCCCCAACAGAAATTGCAGCGCAGTTTTTGTTTAATTGATTCAGCCGGGTTGATGTTGAGCCATGTTAGTCAGCCGGATGGGGGACGCCCCCAACAAAAATGGCCACGCAGGTTTTTAAATGTTTTAATGGATTCAGCCAGGTTGATGTTGAGCCAGGTTAGTCCACGCCCCAATGGTTCCGCCGATTGCAGGCGGCGGGTTGCCAGCGGACGCCAGCGGAAGCAAAGGATGCACCCCGAGGAGATGTCACACCCTTCTTGGTTTAGGGCTTCAGGAGCGGGCCACACGTTAGTGTCGCCGCACGTTCTTCACATGCTGAGCCTGTCTTGTCCAGGACCCCCTTCCCGATCCAGCAGTTCATGGCCTAGCCTGCACGTCGAGTGACCTTCTCCGTTTGCCCGCTCTTCGAACACTAACAAATTGCATAAACAAAAACAAGTCCGAGCGGATTTCTTCGATTGGCGCTGGACCCCCATGGCAGCGCCTCCGGCGCCGCCCCTGGCGCGCTCCGCGCGCCAGTGAGGGGGTCCTGGCTCCGATCTTAAATATATCTACGCGGACTCCCGAAATGTTATGCTCATAGGTCACAGGTTGGGGCTTTTAGACTTGAGCATCAGAGCTACCGACCCGCCTCGCAAAACCTGCATATTGCGGCCGCCAGGTCGAAAGCGTGCTGGTGCTCTCTTGGTAATTATACCGCCTCGCGTCTCCGACGAATGGAAACTGCAAGCCGCGGCCGCCTGACCCAACAAAGCCTGTGGGTGCTCCCCGGGTATCCCGCCTCGCGCTCTTTGGTGGGGATCGCTCTGCCAATCCCCTGGTCTTACTCGGGCGGCCAAGAGGGGGGTGAGGACTACGGGGGCGTGGACATCATGGCGGGGGCCATGATATTTCCTCAGATTTCATGGCGCCTCTTCTTATTTCGATACGTCCCCGGCCCCCCCCTGAGCCGCGCACATGCCGCCGGCCATGATTTGCGCCGCCCCCTTTTTTACGCCCCGCTCTTGGCCGCCCCCGACTTACGGCTAGGGTTTCTAGCTCTGCGGCGCGGCAGCCGCTCTTGCGAGGGGGGATTTGTCCATCACAATCGCCTGGGCTTCGGTCGGGCACATGGATATTAGAGTGAGGGGCCGAATGGTTTTACACCATCCCTGGGCGCGTAGGTGAAATGGGATTCC